GAGTCTAAAATCACAAGTGCAGACACATCTAGGATCCTTGTCCTTCAGGATCCACACTTCCTTCAGGATCTTCATCATTATAGATGTTCTCTGCCTGCCAAAAACAAGAAAAAACGGATATTTAGTAAACACGAAGGCTATTCTTTCTTTCTCTCTCTCTCTCTTTTGGTGGTGCTGGGGATTGAACCCATGGCCTTGTGCATTCGAGGCAAATACTCTACCAACTGAGCTATATCCCCAGCCCAAGGCTATTATTTCAAGTCAAGATTTCTRATTATTTGACTCTGCCATTGCTGGATAACTGCAGCTCTAAAGAATCTGTAATGTAATCAATCAAAGAGTGGGTATGGCTGCTTATGGGTATAGGGTTTCTTTTTGGGTTGATGAAAATGTTATAAAATTTGTTGTGGTGATGGATGCACAACTCTTTAGTGTAGCAAAAACCACYGACTAATAAACCTGTAGACAAATAAAAAAAAATTCACCTAAAAAGATCTTATGTCCAAATCTTGATTCAGTTTTAAAAAACTGCTCTTACACAAAACACTTGATATTGCCGGAGGCATAATTTAAAATACAGAAACAACTTTCATTTGGGCAAAATGCATTGTTCTTAGAGAATCGACTATACCCAAATTGCTAGGCTTGATGCTGCAGACGATGGGATAGTCTTTTACCTTCAGAATCTTGTGATGTGATTGCAGAGAAAAGGAATACATATCATTCCTAATACAAAATATGCTGTCTTTTTTCCTGACACCGAGTAGGCAAAACTCAATCCAATTCTAATACTAACTATCCAAGGTTAACATCACTCAACAGGTTTAAGGTTCAGTCCCATAAGACTGTCCTGTTCTCAAATAAAAAAAAAAGTTTTGCATGACACCCACATACATGGTTTGATAATTTGCTAGAATGATTCACAGAACTCAGAGTTTGTTATTTTTCTCCCTAGTGCGGGGGATGAAACTCAGGGCCTCATGCATACTAGGGCTGATGTATAGCCCCAGTTCCACTTTTGCTTTGTATCAGTGTTTATTATAAAGCACTTAACAGAGAACCAAATGTGCGGAGTAGGCTCAAAAATTCCATTAAGTCCCTGGGCATGCCACTCTCCCAGCACGTCAATATATTTACTAACCTGGAAGCTCATCAAATTACGAGTTCAATCTCCAGATTTCCCTAGTCCCCTGGCTAGTAAGCGGGGGCTAAAAAGTTCCAAATACTTAATCTACTGTTTGGTCTTTCTGATGACTAGCTCACGAGGAYATTTAGAGGCTCCACCAACCTCACCTTTACATCACAAACCCAGGTGTGGTCTAAAGGTTGTCTTGTTAAAATACTTGTTATTCAGTGTCTTGAGCAAAAAGACAGTTACCACTTTGAATATTCCAAGCATTTCTTAGGAATTATGCCAAGAAATGAGACAAAGATGAAATATTTACTTAGTATTATATCACATTTCTAAAAAGGTACTTAAAGTAACATTTGAGAATGAAAGACGTTCTAGGCCTTGGAGGAGATGTAGTTCTATCTCCTAAACATTTCCCCAACTACTACCAATATACCTTCAAATGATAGTCTACCCACGGCAACCCATTTCACTTTCCCACCAGAACTCTTTAAAGTTTTTATGTTAATTTTGAATGGATGAATTACAAAGAGGTTAAGGTATATTTTGGTGATACATTTCAAACATCCTTATAGTAAAAAATACAATATAGAAACGTATGAAAAAAAAATCAGTACTGCCTAACTTGATATATTGAATACATGTTGGCAATCTTGGCAGGGTGTGTGCTGAGGATTGAACCCAGGAGGGTTTTACCACTGAGCTACATCCTCAACCATTTTTATTTTTTTTTAATGCTTTTTAAAAAAATACCTTTGTTTACTTTTATGGTGCTGAGGATGGAACCCAGGGCCTCATACGTGCTAGGTGAGCGCTCTACCGCTGAGCAACAACCCCAGCCCCTAGTTTTGAGAGAAGGCCTTGATAAGTTGCTGAGGCTGGCCTTGAATGTGGGCCTGCTTCAGCCTCCCACGCTACTGAAATTACAGTTGGGTACTACCACACCCAGTGGAAACAGCCTCCTAAACAGAGTTGTCTCTTAGTATCCTAAGGGGGATTGCTTCCAGAACAGCCATCCCCGACAGGCTGCCAAAATATCTCGGTGCTTAAATCATTTATATAAAATGGCATAATATTAGCATATAACCTACGCACATCTACCTGTAGATCTTAAGCCTTCTCTAGATTACAATTTCTAATATAAAGGCTGTGCATACAGAGATTATTATGTTATTAAGGGAATAATGACAAAGAAAAAAAATTTTGTACATGTTCAGTACATACACAATTTTTAAAAAAATATTTTAATTCCATGGCTGTTTTAATTCACTGATATGGAGGGGGCAGCCGTAGTTATATACAATTAAACACAGAACTAGAGACACAAAATGTTAATATGAAGGATACTATCATGTGGTTCTTTGATCTGCCTTTTTCCTATTTAATCTTACTTCTTTTTGATACACGATATTCACAAGTACAGAGGTAGTACAATTTAATTTCAAAGSCCATAAACACTATTTCATATCTTTAATAGTACTATCCATTTTAAGCAAGTTCTGCTTATTAAAATGTTCTTTCTCATGGTTGATTGAAAAACTTTCCTCTAACCCAGCTATCCCAACTCCTCAGTTTATACCCAAAGGACATAAAATCAGCACACCACAGTGATGCAGCCACATCTATATTTATAGCAGCTCAATTCACAATAGCTAAACTATGGAACCAATCTAGATGCCCTTCAACAGATCAATGGATAAAGAAAATGTGCTACATATATATAATGGAATATTACTCAGTCTTAAAAGAAGAATGAAATCATGGCATTTGCAGAGAAATGGATGGAACTACAGAATATTGTGCTAAGTGGAACAAGCCAGTCCCCCCCCAAAACAAATGCCAAATGTTTCCTCTGATAAGTGCATGATGATCCATAGTGGGGGTGGGTAGGGAAGAATGAAGGAACTTTGGATTTTCAGAGGGGAGCAAGGGGAGGGGTGGGGCTGTGGGGATGAGAAAGATGGTAGAATGAGATACACATTATTCCCCTATACACATTATACACTTTATATATAGTGTATACCCTGTATACACTACTGGTGTGACTCTGTACCATGTACAGCCAGTGGAATAAGAAGTTGTTCCATTTATGTATAAGGTGTCAAAATGCATTCTACTGTCATGTACAACTTAATGGAACAAATGTAAAAATAAATTAAAAAAAAAAAAAAAGAAAAACAAAAATAACAAATGACTTTACTTCCAATCCAGAGTTCATCCTACCATATTTTACCAAATAGCAAAGTAAATGGAATGGGGTTGAGTTTGGAATGATGGACTAAATTGGAGACTATGTAAACAAGCCAAAATAAAAACTGTGTACTCTGATAAAAGAACAATAAAAACCTTTTCCTCTAGAGTTTCTTCCTAGCTCTAGATCTACCCAGACACAAAAAGACTCTTGGAATTGATTTCATTTATCATACTTCCATTAAAAAAAAAAAAAGATAAAAAAGTGGTAAAATACATAACAAAATTATCATCTTAGTTGTTTTATTTGTATAGTTCAGTGGCTTGAAGAACACAATGTTGTATAACCATCCAGAATGTATTTTTTCCCCTTTAGTGGGGTGGGGAGATTAAACTCGGGTGTTTTTTTTTTTTTAATAAGTATTTTTTTTTAAAGAGAGAGAGAATTTTTTAATATTTATTTTTTAGTTATCAGTGGACACAACATCTTTGTTGGTATGTGGTGCTGAGGATCGAACCCGGGCCAGATGAGTGCGCTACTGCTTGAGCCACATCCCCAGCCCATAAACTCGGGTGTTCTATCATAGCCTTTTTGAGACCCAGTTCCACTAAATTGCCCAGGCTGATCTCCAAATTGTGATCCTCCTGCTCTAGTCTCCACAAGTACTGGGACTATAGATTTGAGATACCATGCCCAGGAAGAATGTGACAATTTCTTTTACTACTACTATATTTAGACATTAGTCATTATTTATTTATTTGGTAGTACTGGGAATTAAACCCAGGGGTTCTCTTACCACTGAGCCACATCCCTAGCTTTTTTTATTGTATTTTTTAAACTTTGAGAAAGGGTCTTGCCTAGGCTGGCCTCAAACTTACAATCCTTCTGCATCCCGAGAAGTTGGGATTACAGGTATGTGCCATGAATTCAGCTATCATATTTTTAGTGCTGGGACTGAACCAGTGCCTTAGTTAAGCATATGTTCTACCACTGAGTTACACCCCAAACATGAATTTTTTTTTTTTTTTTTTAAAAACACTGGGTCCTGGAGACTGAACCCAGGGCCTTATGCACACTGATTATTTTTTATTAAATTAAGTGCTCTGAAATTTCAAAGGGTGACTGCCTAAAATTGGGGTATTTTTATAGTCTAGATGGGTTTCAAAGAAATCAGGTAGCATTTCAAGCTGTGATATATCTCCTATGGGCATACATATTTGTATTTATAAGAAGGCAGAAGGGAGAAGCATTGCTGAAATAGTATGAAAACTGTTAAGTAAACTAGACTGACAGGTGAAAAGATGAAGACTCCTAGAATTTAAGTCTGGTTAGCTGAACAAGACATGGACACTAGTCAGAAAAAAGGATTGAGGAGGAAAGGGGACTAAGGAGAGTGAAGAAAAGATCAGTTTTATTTGGTTGAGTTTAAAAATAACCAGTAGGGCAATCAGATGAAGGCAGGTAAAGAATAGTTAAGAGGGGCTGAAGCTGTGGCTCAGCTTGCCTAGTACRTTAGGCCCTGGGTTTGATCCTCAGCACCACATAAAAATAAAACAAAGGTATTAAAAAAATCAGTTATGAAAAGGACAATGTGCATATAATCACTAACATCACATTGGGAGTAAACCAAACAGATGGCAGTCACATTAAGAATAAAGTATGAAATAGTATTTATCTAAATTCCCCCCCTCAAAAGACCAAACACTTACCATTTGCCACACTTGCATGATATTGTCTTCTGATACAGAACAAATCACCCAAGGTTCATTGGGATTCCAGGAGAAATCAGATATCTTGGCAGTGTGACCACCATGAATAAACTATAATAGGGAAGAAAACAGATATGAAATGAGAAAGAAGACATTAAATTACAAACAATTAAAAGAAGTTACAGGCTGGGGTCGTGGCTCAGTGGTAGACTGCTTACTCAGCACATGTGAGGCACTGAGTTCAGTTCTCAGTACCACATAAAAATAAAGTTATTAAAAAAGAAGTTACAGATTATTTCAATATTGTTTACTGGTTATAACATACCAATAATTCTGGTGGGCCATCTTCTGCATCTTCAGGGGATTGTTCTTCTCCAATTTTACTAGCACAAAAAGATAATTTTAGAAGTTAAAGTGTAAATATAACTTCACAAAGACTAGAAAAATGAGAAATTATATCCCATCTGATTCAAATGTATGATAAGTCAAGATCATTGTACTGTCATGTGTAACTAAGTAAAACAAAAAACAAACAAACAAAAAAMACTTCACAAAGAGAGTAACTAATACAAGACTTACCTTAAATCCCAGACATTCAGTCTACGATCAGTACCACTAGAAGCCAGAATAGTCTCATTGTGAGGTGACCATTGAACCTATACACAAGAATGAAGGAAACAGAAAAGACATGAATTAGGAAAACACACACACACACACTCATTCTAAAGTTATAGTTAACAATTTAAACATTTTATAAAAAGGAATCAAAAGTATTAAACATTATAGTTAAAACTGACAGATCTAATTTTTTATTAAAACACATTACTAGAYCTAAGACATCAACTTCTCTTCTATTTCATGTTATATTTTTATTTTTAGTTGTAGATGAACRCAATACCTGTTTTTATAGTTTTGTTTTGTTTTTTTTTTTTAGAATTTTTAATATTTATTTTTTAGTTCTCGGCAGACACAACATCTTTGTTGGTATGCAGTGCTGAGGATCGAACCCGGGCCACACGCATGCCAGGCGAGCGCGCTACCGCTTGAGCCACATCCCCAGCCCTGTTTTGTTTTTTTAAATGTGGTGGTGGGGAAAAAACCCCAGTGCCTCGTGCATGCAAGGCAAGAGAGCGCTCTACCACTGAGTCACAACCCCATACCCCCATTTCATGTTATACTTTTGAAGATCACACCTCCTTCCCTCCCTCCCTTCCTTCCTTTAGTATTGGGGATTGAATTCAGGGGCACTTTACCACTGAGCCACATACCTAGTCCTTTTTATTTTGAGATAGGATCTTGCTCACTTGCTGAGGGTCTCACTAAATTGGTGAGGTTGGCCYGGAACTTTTGATCCTCCCATTTCAGCCCTCCACGTCATTGGGATTATGGGTATATGCTACTGTGCTTGGCTAAATATATTGGCCATACTTCAACCACAGTGTCTAATTCTGGCCTCTAGTCAAATGTAACCCACTTCTGACCTAAGTACTAAAATAACAGATGACACACATACAAAAATTACTTTCTTAAGTACTTATATGGAACTCTGTGGTACACATAAATAAGGCTGATGACAACATTACCGTAAACAAAGAATTTGGATAATCTTCATGCAATAACACCATTTTAAGCAAAGAACAAAGAGGGCAAAGTCAATATATTCTTTGGGATAAAAAATAAGGTTAAGAGACAAGGTGTACAGAACTATGCCTCACCTAAAACCCAATTAAGATGCCAGCCACATTTATCCATTAGAATTAATCTGACTGCCCTCAGGTCCTTAACACAACAATATTTTATTATAACTTCAAAATAGGCCTTTCTTGCTATAAAAATTTAAGCCCTACAATTTAACTAAAAACTATGTAACTATACCTGTAACATATTCTTCACAAAGCCTTACCAAAAGCTTTGAACATAGTGCAACAACATTTTTTTTAGGGGTGGGGATTAAATCCACAGGTGCCCTTACCACTGTGCTATATCTCCAGTCCCTTTTTATTTTGAGAAAGGGTCTCACTAAACTGCTGAGGCTGGCCTCAAACTTGTGATTCCGACTGTCTCAGTCTCCTGAGTGGCTGGGATTATAGGCATGTAGCACCATGTCTGGCCACTAGTTTTCCTAACAACCCTGAAATACATAGGTGGCCAAGGAGCGAGCAGTTTGAAAAAGTAAACAACAAAGGAAAAACAATCCCAGTTCCCACAGAGAACAGTATATGCACATGGAATATTACTATTACTTTTGGTAAAAGAAAAAGCACAAATGTGCCTACTTGCACTCCCAAGTTTTCCTTTAACATCAACAAAAATTAAGCAGCAATGGCTTCTCTTACCTGAAATATTTCATCCTTATGTGATTCAAAGGAATGCAATTTAAGTTTCAGATTTCTCAGATCCCACAAGGCAACAGTCTACATGCAAAAAGAAAAGGAAAGCAAGACCAATTTATATTTTGTTTTGTTGTTTGTGGCAGTGGAACTCTGAGGCACTCTACCACTGAGCTACACCATGAGCCCTTTTCATTTATTTTTGAGACAGGATCTCACCAAGTTGCCCAGGCTAGCCTTGAACTTGCAATCTTCCTGTCTCGGCATCCTAAACAGGTTGAACTAAGAGGCGTTTATCATTGTACCCAACAAATGTTTTATATTTTTAAAAAGAAAGGAAAACCCATTAACTCAAACTAACTCTGCACATTTAAAATGTAAAGAGATTCACAAATGTATTCTCTTTTTAAAAAACTGTTATTTATTTATTTTTTTGGTGGTGCTGGGGATTGATCCCAGGGCCTTGTGCATGGGAGGCAAGGACTCTACCAACTGAGCTATATCACCAGCCCAACGAATTTATTCTCTTAGAACAAGTCAAACTTACCTTATCAGCTGATCCTGTGGCAAGTATGAACTCACTATAAGGATTGAAAGAGAGGCAGTTCACTTCAGCAGTGTGAGCATCTACTGAGTGGCTTGGTTTGGAAGTATTGTTTGAACGAGTATCCCAACTTTAGTGTAAGGGGGGAATAAAAGCAAAGAAAAAAGCTTTTGAAAAAGCTTACTAAATATAAAAAATAAGATAAAATATAAGAATAAAACAACAACAAAAAACAATGGGTTCTACTCACATCATAAGTTTCTGATCG